TATATATATATATATATATATATATATCTTCAAAATATTGGATAAGAAAAAATTAGTAGTACAAAAATAAAGCAACGCCAATATTACAATATATAATATTAAAAAGTGTATAAATCACTCGTTTTTCTAAAGAAACATTGTCCAACAGCGACACCAGCAGGTAAAGTTACAGCGGGAGTCTGAGTCTCTCTCGCCTCCCCTGAGCTCATTGAGTTTTAACAGACCAACTAAAGCGTGCAGTGGGGGGGTAATTGAGAATGAATGGGGGGAAATCACGTGAGAGGAGGCAATGCCTCCATCACGATATGATTGGATATGACTGGTTATGTTCGGCTGTGATTGGTTCATGCGATAAATCCCGCCTATTGTGTTCATGTGCGTTCTACGTTCGCGAATCAGTCTGAATGAACAATATAATGGCATTAATGGGAAGACTCATTTAAAAAAGTAAGTAAACAACTCACACACTTAGATGTAACCACTTTGTTACGTCAAAATAAGACTTGAAATGGTCTGAAATCATGATCTGTGGGAGTTTTTAGTGAGTAAATCAGCTTGTTGAAATTTAAAGTAAATTTCTGTGTCTGTGACCAATATTTACTGAGCTTTGATGACTGATGAACCGAATAATTCAAAAATAGTTAAAAGTTAACTATTAAAAAGAATAGCTGAACATAAGTTCACAAATAAAATATTTTGTTTAAATTGTTACTGCCTTGAGTTATTATTTTGAAATAAATGTAAAATGCTTAAAAACACTAACTTGATGAGATTCATACTTGGCTTTAATAAACAGAATATTGATTACATTGTTATTGTAAAAATATAAAATAGAATTGTATTTGTTGTTGTTTTCTTTGTTTTCTGGTAGTGTAATATTTATTTAACCAAGAACATGTGACTGAGACAGGAATTTAAAAAAAATTATCCTCCTCATTTCAGAACACCACATGAAGAGTTAATTTGCAAAAACCGATAAACGACACTTTAAAAAAAAAAAAAGAGCTGATTGCTGTGCATTATTCTCCACATATAGCGCGATCTGAACCCTAAACACGTTTTGTCAAAAAAGCCGGTTTTGTCCACTTTCAAGGCATCGCGAGTTCACGTTTTACTGCAGAAGCCGACAAGCGCCTATGAACCACCATGTGATATTTGGTCTGTAAGTTAATCAAAGATATTTCTGTCCCTAGAGTCACCCATGTCACCCATGATTCAGGACTGAACCCCTGCACTTACTCATCTCTTCTGATCATCTTATTTGCATTCTTAACCCTTTAACGCGTATACGATCACACCGGTGTGATCAGTCTTGGCTGGTCCCTGAAGCGTACGATCACACCGGTGTGATCAGTCTTGGCTGGTCCCTGAAGCATGGCCTTTCCCACAGCCTGGGCCGCTCTCTTCATTGCCATCAGCGCGAAGTCCGTCGCCGCGCGCAGATCCTTAGTGGCCTCTGCCGTGAGGGCTCCGCCCTCCGCTGCCTGCAGGAGCTTCGCCTGAAAAACCTGCAGCACTGCCATGGCGTGCAGCGCGGAAGCCGCCTCGCCATCAGACGCATATGCTTTATTGGCAAGGTGGGCGGTGGTCCTGCACGGCTTTGAGGGGAGGCTGATGTCTGAGCCTAGGGTCTTGGCTGCTGCAGGACACAGGTGCGCAGCGACGGTCTCCTCGACTGGGGGAGAGCGCACGTACCCGTGGGCCTCCGCCCCATCCACGTGGGAAAAAATGGACTGTGTGGCAGAGTGGACGCGCGCTGATTGGGGTGCAGTCCATGTTTTCACCAGCTGCTCATGTACGTCGAGGAAAAAGGGGACCGACGTCCTCGAGTCAGCTTTCCGGGTGGACCTGAAATACCAGGAGTCAAGCTTACTCCTGACAGGCTCCTCTGTGCTATTTGTATACTTCGCGTCAATTGGCCAGTCATTTGGACTGGCGGGAGCCAATAGGACTTCAGGAAAGGTTGGAAGGGAAGGAGTTCCCATAACGGAGAAATATCTCCGTGATGTCTCGTGAAAGCTCGAGAGGGAACTCACGCTGGGGGCTCAACTAGAATATTTTAAACTCTTCACCCTGTAAATATTCTAAAGAAAACACAGGTGTAAACTACTCAATCTTATGGAAGCCTGTTTCCGCCACTGAATAAAAAATAAAAGAGGTAATTGCGACTTTTTTCCTCAGAATTGCGTGATATAAACTCGCAATTGCGAGTTAAAAAGTCATAATTGAGAGATATAAACTCGCAATTCTGAGAAATAAAGTCAGAATTGCGTGATATAAACTCGCAATTGCGAGAAAAAAAAAGTCATAATTGAGAGATATAGACTCACAATTCTGAGAACATGTCAGTCTTTCCCCCACCCCTCAAAATTGGACTTTAACTCGCAATTGCGAGTTTATATCTCACAATTCTGTGAAAAAAAGTCAGAATTGAGAGATATAAACTCGCAATTGCGAGAAAAAAAAAAGTCTGAATTGCGAGTTTATATCTCACAATTCTGTTTAAAAAAAGTCAGAATTGTAAGATAAAAAGTCGCAATTACCTTTTTTTTTAAAATTTTTATTCAGTGGCGGAAACGGGCTTCTATATCAATCTCAGTAACAGGAAACTAGTTTATATCTCGCAATTCTGACTTTTTTTCTCAGAATTGCGACTTTATTTCTCAGAATTGCGAGATAAAAAGTCGCAATTCTGACATTATAACTCGCAATTGTGACTTTTTATCTCACAATTCTGACTTTATAACTCGCAATTTCGAGTTTGTATCACGCAATTGTGAGAAATAGAAAGTCGCAATAATATTTTTTTAATTTTTTATTCAGTGGCGGAAACGGGCTTCTATAGAAACGGGCTTCCATACTTATATACAATCTATAAATGCACAAACTGAAACGCGAGATATTTTAAATCTAGAAAAACGTTTTTAATGCCTGTTGTTCTCTGCTCCGCCAGCGAGGGCGCTCAGACAGCGCGCACAACTGAACGGGCCAATCAAGAGCATCCAGCTGGAGTGACGCCACTTCCGTGACAATAGGGACAGCGTGACTGATTTAGCAACAATAACAAGAGCTGCGCGGAACAGTTTGGCGATCAAAGTGCGAGGCTTCAAATGACATGACGTGGATAAACTGACGGTTAGGAGACGCGTCCTGTCCCGCGTCACACTGTGGAGCTGCTCCTTCAATGTAAGACACTTTATGATGATGGAGGGACGTTTTCGGCTCTAGCTAGCTAAATATTAGCTTACGTACGATCATGCTCAGGTGTTTGTTGACTTACAAAGATACATTCTCTTTCCGAGTCATTTAACATTTAGTCGTCTGTTTTGGTGACTGGTGCTGTCTGATTTAATATATGTATCCTCGTGCAGTAGCCCAAGAGAAATTCGTCTGACATTGATTTAGCACCAGTGTCTTTTATAAATGTTCTGTTATTTTATAAAATCACAAACGAATGTCGCAACACCTTTATCTCTTTATCATTACGTTATTGTCATGTGATGGTTTGTAAATGGTTCCTTCTTTGAAAATGTACGGATGTTGTATAGGCTCATTTACAATATGTGGTTGTGGACAGTTTTGGGTAGATTTGCAGTGAAATATTAATAGTTGTTCAGTAGAGTACCACACACACACACACACACACACATATATATATATATATATATATGTGTGTGTGTGTGTGTGTGTGGTATGTATGTATGTGTGTGGCTGTACTATTTGTACATGATTTCATTTGTACAAAATAGGTGTTTCATAAGCTGTATTAAATGTGCAACATGCTGTAAAATGTAAAGACATCAGCTCTTGTTCTTGTAAGTTGGTGATCAAAACGCTAGACTAATGAAACTGCTTCAGGCAGTGTATTGTCTTGGCAACATTTTGTTTAACAAGGCAGCGATTGTTTTTTTTTTAGGACTGTTATATGCACAGCTGTCCAAAGAATGTTTACATGGTGTTGGTCTCTTTTTCATGTGTTTTCCTTAAGAGCCTGTAAACCTGCCTTGAGTTGTAACTACATTAAGGTTTTTCATATGCATATTGAGTGTTTTGCCTTTGTTGAGGCAGATTAATGTAGTTACAACTGAAGGTGAGTTGGTTGTCTGCCCTTCTTGCTGACCTGGTGTCTTCTTTCTACACAGTGCTGTTATTTCTGAAAACTGCCGTGAGGACGCTGATCAGAGCCCAGTCTCTTTGCTGTTTTGCAGCCACATTTAATGTGTTTGAGCCCTGACACTCAAAGGACAAATAACTTTTGTAGTAAAAGTAAATGTTATTTTATGGCACAGCTGTGACTGTGGACCTGTGAGGACAAATCGCACAGCAGGTGAGACTAAGCCTTTTAAACTCATGCTTCTCATCAGTTAATGTAGGAAAAACATATACAAAATGTTTATTCATTAGTGGATTCACTTATTTTTGTTATAAGCCAGTATTGCTATTCTCAGTACAGCTGGTGGTTTCATTTTAGCAAAGAACATGACTAATTTAGTCAGCAGATGGTTAAATCTAGGCCAGTTCTGTTTAAAAATGGAACTTTTAGCCCAGAGGGCTGCAGCTTCTCATTATATGTTTAACTGAACTGCTTGAGGTTGTCTGACACATGGGTCATGGCATGACAGGCACACTTAATTAATAAAACTTATAAGTACTTAGTTTCAGAAAGCATTCTTATATAGACCTGCACCTGTCTACTTTATTAGCTCCATAAAATGAATCCTTCCTAATGAATTAACTCCATAAGATGAGCCGAGCCCAAACAACAAGCCCAAAGACAACTAATAGGCATTGCATATAATAAGTGGGCATGGCAACTCTTCAAGTCTGCGCTCTGCAAAGCAACATTCCAACAGTAAACAACACACGACGGCTCTGTCAACGATGGTTTAGTGAAAATCACATATATATATATATATATATATATATATATATATAACATTTTAACATTCTTAAAACATGTTTTGACATTCTTATATATAACATTAGGACCCCACAAATTAGTACATACTAGCGTGTGTGTGTAAGGAATGAGGTACGAGAGGCTGTGCTGGACAGCATGCTTCATGTACCTTATTGCTTTTATAAAACGGTTACCACACAATAAAAAATATTAAAACCAAAAATTGATATATTAATATGTTACTTTTTTGAAGTAAGTTTGTTAAATGCTGTCCTTCAGCTAAAAAAATAGTTCCTGACAGCAACAGTAAATGGCAAGACAATGTTCTGATGTAACATGCCTCATCTTATGGAGCTCAAATAAAAACAGAGAATAGTAACTGTTCTCATCCACGGTGTCATTTATTTGTTTAACACCATATAGTATACACACAAATACAACTGCTTATATCTCAGCATGAGAAAACATCTGTTTTCCATCTTTTAGTTTAAAACAAACCGAATTGCAGCACCGCGCGAGTTTGCTAGCGTCATTAGAGTGTAAAATTATGGACATACAGTACCACACCTCAAACAGAAAACTAATAAATACAGTAATTAATACAGTAATATTCCCTCCGCACTTCAGAAATTGTGGGCTTGGATGCGCGCACACATCAATGTATCTCGGATCTCCTGCATGAGAAGAGTTTCTTTGAGGGGGGAAGGACATGGTCTATAAAGATGAATGACACAACATAACACCAGCAGGGGTCACTCATAATTCATAAAAAAAAAAAAACAGACTGTTAAAGGGATAGTTTACCCAAAAATGGCCATTCATTCCACCATTCACTGCCATTATAAAGCTTGGACAAGCCAGGACTCCAATTGTATTCGTCTGAAAGAAGAAAGTCATATACATCTACGATGGCTTGAGAGTGACTAAATCATGGGGTAATTTTCATTTTTGTGTGAACTATCCCTTTAATTTTGCTTAAATACATAATACATGGAATAGTTTTGACGCTGTATTATTGATTGTTTATGTTGCTAAGGGTGTTGCGCAGTGATACACAGAACTGTTGGGTGAAGCGGTCTTAGCCATGGTTTATTGTGAATAAAACAGCTTCTGACCAATCAATCGTGTAAGAACACACCAAACCAGTATTATGTAAGATTAATAAAAGACTGAAAGTCATGTGGTGCAATGAGGAAGGGATTTATAGAGCACATGTCAAGGTCAGTAAGCCTCTTCAAATATCAGATCATTTGACCTTTGGAGTTCATAGTAAGGCTAGTTCAGGATCAAACAAACTGGCAGTTCCGCCTCAAACTCACGCCATTGACTGAGCTAGAAGTTGACATGTAGGTCTTCTCAAATACCATTTTGAAATCACCATTTTGGGAAATTGGCCTACGAATGGCTTGGTTATCTCTGCACATTAAACTAGCAACTATTTAATATTGAATAATGACACACTTTGTCTTTATAATTTTTTTTTTGATAACTGTGAATCAACAGTTGTATAAGGTGCGTGGTGTGAGCTGGTACAATGGAAGCTTCTGAGACAGAAGGCCGCACCTTCATGCAGGCGATCAGTGAGAAGTACAGCCCAGAAAACTTCCCTTGCCGTCGGGGTCCAGGCATGGGGGTCGTGGTTGTGCCGTCTAGACAGCAGGGATCACCTATGAAAGGTGAGGCTTGGGTTAGTTAATAACAAGTCATGTAAGATTCCTTGATGATTTTAGTGTTTGCTTTGGCAGCTGCATCCTGTTGCTGTATTTCATAGTTCATTAGTTATGTGGTCATTCTGCCTTCAGACCGTCTGAACCTGCCCAGTGTTCTGGTTTTGAATGGCTCTGGAATCAGTCATGCAGGAGAAGAGGGAGAAATTGCTGCCTTCTGTACTCATGTAGTTGAACTTGATCTGTCCCACAACAAGCTCCAAGACTGGCTTGAGGTGAGTTAGTTCTGAGGTTAAACCCCCCCACACCCCCCACACACACATTTTATAATAATATACTCTGTCACCTTCATTTTGTTCCAAATTCATTTGCTGTTATACTTTTTTTTTTGTTATAATAAGCAACCTTATGTTGTAAAACAGCAATTAAAAGTGAAGAGGCTGTCAAGCTCCAACTAAATAATAAAAGCACCATAAAAATAGTCCATATGACTCATGCGCTGTATAGCTTTGTGTGAGAAACTGACTTAAATGGACTGATTTAAGGATCTGTAAATATAGTATTAATAAATAAACATACATTACTGTTCAAAGTTTTGGGGTCATTAAGATTTTTTTAAAGACATGAATTTATTTTTATTCAGCAAGGATGTATTTAAATTGATCAAAAGTGGCAGTGATGACATTTATAATATTTCAGAAGATTTCTGTTTTAATTAAATTATGTACATGTATGTATATATGTGTGTGTGTGTGTGTGTATTATACATTTATAATATATATAATATGTCTTTTAACCCTTTAATCTGTTCTAGATCAGCAAGATTGTTTCCAACATCCCTAACCTGGAGTTCCTGAACCTCAGCTCTAATCAGCTGAGTGATGCAGTCTTGGAGCCGGACTGTGCAAAGGCCTTCTCTAGCATCCGCCGCCTCGTTCTTAACAATACCCAGGTGTCCTGGTATACAGTGCACACATTCACACAAGAGATGCCTGAGTGAGTCACACTTTGAACTCTTGATGTTTTTGTAGTTTTGAAATTTTTTTTAATTGTATTATGTATAACAATTACCGGTGGTGTACATGTGTGGTATTGATTGCTGTGGTCAGTTTGAGATTTTTGAGACATTATGGTTTTGATTTGATTTCTTTTTTCACATACAGAGTATTTTAATGGCTGTGTACATGCAATCCTGCAAATGTCTTGAATAAATTATTGATTTATCATTTCTTTTCATTGTACCATCATGATACTATTGATTCTCATGGGATCATCCACTTTACCATGTTACTTTATTGAACTGTAAATGATGTTTGAGAGAATTCACTTTGAATTCATTCAACAGCTTTCAGGTAACGTTATGGCCAATGAGCAGTTTTTTTTCATGCTTTAATTTGAACCATCAGATTTTATGAAAGTGTCTGTGGTATGACAGCTCTCCACTAATATTGATCTGTTTTGTCCAGACTAGAGGAGCTGTTCCTGTGCCTTAATGAGTACACCACTGTGACACCGGCCACCATGCCCTGCCCCACACTGCGTCTGCTCCACATCACAGATAACAGTCTCCAGGAGTGGAGTGAAGTACGAAAATTCGGCTCCATGTTCCCTGCACTGGACACTCTGGTCATGGCCAACAACAACCTGAACTCCATTCAAGACTCAGGAGAAATCCTTCAGCGGCTCTTCCCTAACCTTCGAAGCATCAATCTGCATAACGCAGGTATCATCGTGTTAGTGACACTTGCTGTGAAAGAGTCTAAATAATCATAGCATGTGTGTAATTGTCTAATTATTACTATTTTAGTACAGTGTAATTACATAAACCCCCCCAAAAAAACAAGTTTTTCTTATCATTTTGTGTGATTCAGGACTTAATCGATGGGAGGACATTGAGAAGCTAAACTTTCTGCCCAAACTGGAAGAAGTGAGGTTGCAAGGCATTCCTCTACTGCAGGCTTACACGAGCATGGAGCGTCGCAGTCTAATGATAGCCCAGTAAGTCCAATGTATCTTACAGGGAAGAAAATTCTTTCATCATTTACTCACCCTTTTGTTGTTCCAAATGTTGGTAACCAAACAGTTTTGGTGACCACTGACTTTCACTGTACGGACAAAATATCTTCTTTTACGTTCCACAGAGGAAAGAAAGTCATACAGGTTTGGAATTACATGACAGAGTAAATAATGACCAAATTTTTATTTTTAGGTGAACTCACTTTAACCTCATTAGAAACCGATATTAATGTTGTAGAAATGTTGATGAGATGATCTCATTGCTCCCGCCTGCAGACTGCCGTCAGTGACCTCTCTGAATGGGAGTGCCGTGACGGATTGTGAGAGAGAAGATGCTGAGAGATTCTTCATCCGTTATCACTTGGATCATTCAGAGGAAGAGCTGCCTCACAGGTATCTTTTAGGCATGAACACTGTAGTGTAGACCATTTAGAACCTTATTACTGAATAGTTCTTGGACTCACACTGTGTCTACACTGGATGCGAGCGATGCAACGCAACTAAAAACAATCAAACCCATTATAATCAGTGATTCTGTCTATACTTGATGCGACGTGGCGTGTCGTAATGCGATGCGACAAATCCCCAACAGTAAACTGGTTCCCTGTTCTATTTCTAATGTACTTGAAGCTCTTACGCTACTTGAAACATGCAAACAAAGTACAAATGGATTTGCTACGCGACACAACAACGGTCACACCTGGTGTAGACTAGGGGTGTGGACAAATAGTTGAATATTCAATCTGTAATTATTATTCGAAAAATATTCGACAATATTCAAATTTTGCAAAGGAAAAGGAAAGACAGCTGTCCATTCAAAGGAAAGACAGCTGTCCATCACTGCATTCACGACTGCAGGTAAATGCAGCTGTATTTAGAAGAGAGCTCATCTGATGTTCTTTATATATATAATATATGTGTATATATATTGAGATAACATTGAGATATAACGTAACGTTGTAGAACATTGTTGTGTATAATGCCTAATTATAAACTTGTTTAGAAATGGTGTCAAAACAAACAAAAAAATTAAACGTAAAAAAGATGTAAAAAAAAATAACATCTTTCTTTAAATAAACGAATATTCGGGGAAAAACTATTTATGAGCCCAAATATTCGAATACAATATTTTTGAAAAATGCCCATCCCCTGTAGACACGGTATCAGGCAGCTGTTTTTTAAACTGTTGATCTGTGTATACATAAAGACAGCTGCATTTGGGTGTCGCAAAAAGTTTTAAAACTGTGCCTTAAGATCCATACATTTTGTTCCATTATCTTGTGGTCTGTCCAGCTTTTTTTGAACACATTCAGCATAAACATGATCTGGAAACATTCTGTAGTTATAACCAGATAGTTTTTTTTATTATTATTATTATTTTATGGTATAGGATTTTGCTTTATTTGATGCACCTGTGTTTGTTTTACGATATGTAATCCACATTAGGCGATTTTGTAATAAGTATTATTTAGACCTAACTAATATTTATTATTATATAAAATGTGTTGTTTATTAAATAATTATAATATAATTATTCTTATTTTTCTAAATAATTATAAACCAGATTTAAACTTCTCTTATCTAACTTTTTTTGTTTACCTGAACTTATCTATAGAAGAAGACAGTGTATGCTAAACCATTTGTGGCAGTGCTGAGAACTCTGGTAAAAAAAAAAAAAAAATCTATGCCTTAATTTATTTAAAATACATTTATTTTATACTAAGTATACTTCGAATCCTTTAACATATTTATAGACATATCACTTAAGACTTACTGATATAAAATTATAATTAAACTTTACTTGGATTGTTTCTTTATTGCACAATGCACATTTCTAAATAGCATGCCTAAAATGTGTTTTAATATCACTATTAATAAGGATTGTATGATCTCTGTATACTATCAGTCTTTAAATGCAAGATATTTAAAGTGTACCTGAAGTATACTTGCAATAATTCCACTTCAGCACAATCAAGTATACTTACATGTAAGTATATCTATATAGCAGACTTTAAGTATACCAGTTTAGTATACCAAAAGTACAATTGCAGGGTATTTTTATTAAACACATACATATGTAAATATATTTGTAGTATACTTAGGACAAAATAAATGTATTTAAAATACATTTTAATATACATTTTTTTCCACTAGAGAATGCAATTCAAACCTTTTTATACACTTTACATTTTTTTTGCATACATACCAGAACGAAATATACAATTGAGCTTGCGTACACTGTAAAAAAAAAAAAAACTATTTTTGTAGGTGTGAATAAAACAAATATTATTGGGTTACGTTTTACAAGTAAATACAATTTCAGTCTTATAAATTTTACATTTACTTCAATGTGTTACTTGCGGTTTCTTTGTAATTATTTGTGAAATTTACTAGCAATTTCTGAATGAAATTGTTTCAAAGCCAGTGTTTTTATTTTTTTTTCCAGTGTAGCTAAAAGTGCTTGCTTTATAGTATTTTGGTTCTCTTTAGGGAGGATTTTTGGTTTGACCATGTACAGTAGTGGAAGGCTGAATATGGTTTAAGTATTTGCATTTTGCTTTGGAGATATCACTGCTTGGTGACCAAATATGGGAAACTGGCTCCTCTGGCTGAGATTGACCTGAGACCACGTTGCCACGCCAAGGTGGAGGTACGCTATGAAGACAAAGTACAGCAGGTGAGCATCCGTTTGGACAAGACTGTCGGAGAGCTGAAGAAGCAGCTGAGGACTGTTGTGCAGCTCCCCATCAGCAACATGCGCATTTACTACATCGACAAGGGTTCTGCCTTCGGCCCTGATGAGTTGAAGTACAGCACACGGGCCTTGCACTCCTACAGCATTCAAGATGGGGATGAGATCTTGATAGTTCCCAAAACAAAATAACTGTCTTTCTCCAGGATCACAAAAAGCTATATTTAAATAACCAAATCAACTTTAAACTAGCACCATCTAAGCTCCATAGAGTGAATGAGACTGTCTTTTCAGGGAAAAACTCCTAAGATTTGCTGGGGCTTCAGTTGTATTCAATCGGCACATAGCGTGTCATGTCACTACACAGTCATAAGAAACACCATGACTCGTGTGCACCTTTAGTTTTGTTGCTGTTGTTAAGGGTTTACTTTTTGTTTTCAGACTTCACAAGCACCCCTGTATTTTCAAAAATAAAGCACAGCGGAGGGCTCTGGCAGCCCAGGATGTGCAGATTTTAAGACAATCACCCATAGCTGAAAGAAAATGTTGCACTGCACTGATGTCTTAAAGAAGAAATCATGGATCTCCATTGCCTGCTGATGTGTGTCGTATGCTGTCAGCCATTAATTACATGCAAAAGACTCTCAGGCCTTATATATTGTATGGGCAGTGCTAGATTCACATTATATTATATATTGTATGGGCAGTGCTAGATTCACATAGAAACAACTTATTTACAAATGTTTTTAAATGTCCAGTTCATTTTTATAATCTGATTGAAGAATCCAGAAGGGAATTGCGGAGTCACATGCATGTGCTATTTAATTGTGGTATTTTTTGTTTTATTCCTTTTTAAAATATTTCTATTAGTACTTTCTCTGCTGCTTTGGAAGTAGGCCCTCAAACTTGTACTTCCAATACAAAGCATACGCTTGGAAAAGTGCTTATCCTCATTTCACTTGTATCCATATTATAGTATGTTGATTTGGATATTTTACTCTCAGAATAATGAGATGTGTTAAGTGACAGAACATAAATCCTCCAAAGATTATGTTGATTATTATTCACAGCATTTATTATTGATTTACTGATTGGTGTTATTTGTTCAAAACAAAACGAAACAAATTAGTAGCAAAACAATCATAGTGTACGACTGTATCCAGCCAGTATATTATGAAATTAATTTTAAAAATTAAATTTTAAATTTATTAAATTAAGGGAATAGTTCACCCAAAAATGAGAATTTGCTGAAAACTTACTCACCCTCAGGCCATCCAAGATATAGATTAGTTTGTTTGTTCATCAGGACAGATTTAACATTAAATCACTTGCTCACCAATGGATCCTCTGCAGTAAATGGGTGCCGTTAGAATGAGAGTCCAAACAGCTGAAAGAAATATCACAATAATCCACAAGTAATCAGCAGCGTGTTTGTAAGAAACGGATACATCCTAAAAACGAAATTGCCTTCTCCAGTGAAAAAGTCATCTCGTCTGTATCAAGAGAGATATACCGTATTTCTCTCCTGATTCAGATGAGATTATTTTTCAAGCACCATTTACAAGTAAAAAGAGTCCAAAAAAGTTTTTAACTAATATGTCAGTGTATTTTGATGTGAGAGGACAACAGGAAATGGACGACTTGAGTCATGTGGATTACTTGTAGATTATTGTAATGTTTTATCAGCTGTTTGAACTCTCATTATGGCGGCACCCATTCACTACAGAAGATCCATTGGTGAGCAGGTGATGTGATGCAAAATTTATCCAAATCTGTTATTTTATTATTTACTCATGTTGATCCAAACCTATGTGACTTTATTTATTTTTTATTATATTTTTTACATATTTTGAGATTTTTTTTTCCCTGGTCCAAAATGGAAGTCGATTACAAAAACAGTTTGGTTACCAACATTCTTTAGAGCATCATCTTTTGTGTTCTACAGAAGAAAGAAAATCATACCGATTTGGAATGACATGAGGGTAAGTATAAATGAAGTTTTCATTTCTGTGTGATTTATCCTTTTAAAGTCACTGAAGCTTGACTAAAATGTGTTTTGAAATGTGCAATGTTATCTTAAGGTGCAGAAACTGACAAGTTTATTCTACAGGAGTTATAGGATCAAACCATCAAATTATTTATTTATACCTGGTACATTGATCAAATCAGTGCATGAACCTCATTTGCATGTTTATCAACGGAAATTGGTGAAAACGTAGTTTGTTGCATTTTTCCCCCCATATATAACCGGATAGCTTAACTTGAAGGATGGACTGAATGGAAAAGCACTGAGATCCTTTCGGCGTAACTGTCAGAGTGCCATGCTACACTGAGACTCACAAATGCTTAGGTTAGTAGTACATGCTGAATGTTGAAGGCTAGAAGCACTTCTCATTAAACATTTCAGGTTTCTCATCAGTAAGACGTGATTTAAACCATGTTGCTTGAATTAAGTTGTAATTCAGAATTTGTAATCAGTTTTTTGATCATTTTATAACCAAAAAGTGAAATGAGTAGATAGAGATTTAATGACTTATATGTGTATAACTTAAATTGAAGTGAAATGTAAAATGTTAAAATCAGCTCCTATAGTTGTAGAAATCATTTATGTTTGTTGTTTGGTCGGGGGAAGAACAATGATGGATATTATATAGCAAGGTTCTAGCATCCGCTATGCCTTTAACACTCTTTATGCCTTTATCCGCAACCCTTAATCAAACATAAAAGCAGAATGAAGCACTGTTTTTTTTTCTCCAGAATTCACTTCTAGAGTATCAATATTTGATGTTCTGTGCCCACACAGGACATGCTATTGATATTAGGGTTTCATTTTTGCAAATGTTTTTTTTATATATATGAATGCATTATTAATATTCCAGTGATATGACCTAGAAGGTAATGCCACTTAAATTGTGAAGAAAACGAGACTTTTATGGACTGTCATTATAGTGTTATTATAGTATTATTTATATAATATTATTAATATTTTGAAATAACATTTTATTTTCAGTTTTCATTTTAATTTTAGTTAAAGTTTTAGTAACTTCATAATGGGCTCATCATTTTTTATTCTTTTTTTGTGTGTGTGAAGATAATCTATATTTTTATATTTAAGTAATTTTAGTACTTCGACTTCAATTAATTTTTTTTTCAGTTTTTCATATAATTATATTGTATTTTATTTCAGCTGTATTTCAATTGACTAAAACTGTTAATAGTTTTAATTAACATCACTGCTGTCATGGCCATTTATTTTTTCAAAATATGTTTACTGTGATTTTGTTTTTAGAGCCACTCTCTAGGGTATTTCTGTTTAGCATCGTTTTGAAAATATTAATATATGTATGTATCATTCTGCCTAACATTTCCTTTTTGTTCCACGCGAAAAAAGAATGTTATATAGGTTTGGTACATGAGGGTGAGTAAATGATACATAATTGTTATTTATTTGTAGAAATTTTTATTGATATAATTTTTGTTTGTTTGTTTGTTTGTATGAACGATCCCTTTAAATCGCATCAAGCGCTGCTACTAATCTCAAACGTGTTTATTCCCGTCGCCAGGGTGACATTGGCGGTGGCATTGTGATGACGTTCGAGAGCAGGATTAGCCAATTAGATGAAAGAAACGCTCGCCGACGTCACTGTTAAAGTGAGCGACCGTTTTATTTTTTTTATTTTTTGGAAAGTCAAGAGCTTGGAATGTTACAAGGACAGAAACAACCAAAATGCCTCGGTTATTATTTATACTGTCTTGAAGGGCATCAGTGAACTATCGTGTATCGGCTGCTAGAGTTCAAAGTGTCTTGCGTGGAGGTCTCACTTGCGGTGGGCTCTTCCCTGAAAGAGCGGAGGATGGTCTCGCTCACTTCGGTGAGTAACGTTAATGCTATGAATGCTCGCGCTGCACATTCTTGCTTCGCCGTTCTCACTAATTTACTCGCCCGATTTGGAAACGTCCTGACGTTTCACTAATTACATAACATCGACCGGCGAGTTGTCTTGTGTAAATGTATGAAATTACATTGTTCTGCAGCGGTAAATCGCGAGTTAGGTATTTAATTCTTCAGACCCAGTCCTGCAGATTGAATTTATTAATCTGAATATAAAGTCTTTTTGTTTTAAATAACTGGGAAGTATCGTGTAATTGTACGTTAGTCTGGTGCAGTCTCTCTTTTTAAAGATGATATTAATATATACTTGAAATTTATTCAAAGTGTTCGGGTTATGCTTTGTTTATCTAGTACTTGAAGTTTAGTGATGTAGCGCTGAAACGTTGCACTGCAGCCGTCAGCGCGCACTTGATCACGTGACACGCTTCTGAAGTACGGGGGACTGGGCAGTGTGTAACATGTTACCCCCCTTTTTTTGTCTTAAACCTTGATTTTTCTCTTATTTGTCTGCTTCTGATTAAAGTAGTTTATAAATATACTACTTATTCATAAAATGTGTAAATTAGTGTCATGTAGTGTTGTTAAAACCTTACCCTTCTAGTAAGATTACACAACTAGATTAGTTGTAACAGTAACAAAAACATTGACGTGAAATAATCTGAACAAAGTTAAACAAAATGGAACAGTAAATATTCTGGCATTTGCCACAATTATGAGATTGTAGGTCTCATAATTATAGGTAATATTTTACACAGATATGGAGGTTAAACAGATGGCGTTACAAATGTTACAACATCCCCTGTCTCCCCTATTAAATTCATGTCAGACTTGTTCAAAGCCACAGTCTCAGAGGTATTTTTTTTCTTAACTTACAGGTAGCCTGCATAATTTTGTTGTTACATAAGCTATCAAACCTATATGTTTGTTTTAGTAGTATTACAGTAAGTCATGTGGGTGTGGGTGGTTACTTATGTAAGTTACAATCTCCCATAATTACTAAATTATTAAACTCTCTGATGATTACTTAACTGTTACCCTCCCATATTGATCCTGACTGGCTTTTATTGACCGTTGCCATGTAGTTATAGTACTTTTAGTACATCTGTTCCTCTGTTATTGGGATATTAAGCCCAGCTAAACAAGCCATAGACATCTTGAGAAAAAAATTCTCATATTAGCCTACATGTTTACCAGTGCTGTACCTAATTGAAATATCAAGATATTTTAAGAAATATCTTCATAATTTAATATTTTAATTATTAAATATATTGCATATGCAATTTGTTTGTATTTTTATATAAATATAAAATGTTTACTTTAATTATATAATATATATAGAATAATTAAAAACAAAAAATGCAATTTGTCTGTAGAGACTTTGAGTGTTAATCCAAAATTAATGGGTTCACCTTTTGAAATTAAAAAACGCCAGTTTTAAGTGTCTATGTACCTGATTTGACATTTTAGTTTTACATGTTAATCCCAGTGTTTTTGATTTCATTGTATTCTTTTTATTGAAAATGTCCCTATAAGTCTGTTACAAAATGTTAATTTAATATAACTGCAAATATATATATATATATATAATACATAAATATAAAATGTTTTATATAAAATTTTATTAATTATAGAAATATAGAAATACATTTCATTATATTATTAATTAACAACGTATTATTACAAATAATATTTAAAAAAAGTATTAAAAACAAAAAATTCACTGTATAAATAAAAAAATCAAAATATTTAATATATTTATGTAAATACATTTTAACTGTAAATAATTATTTATAATCATATTGTAAAACCAGTCCTGCCCATAAAAAGTCTTAATGCGATTCCTTTAAGTACAAATTGGAATGCAGGAGTGTTGAATGAACCAGGGAGGTCATAGGCAATTGCTATATTTACCAGCTCAGTAATATGATCTCTAGCATTCTGGATCACTCTGCTCATGCAGTCCTTCCCTGGTCCTCTCACTCTGGAGCTACAGCCTCCAAAGCAACACGCTGTCCATGGAAAATGCTACTGGTGAGCCTCTTCTCCAAATGACTCGCTCTTTTCTTTAACTTTAAGCTGTTTTGACTGCTATCCAATGCTGTGAGGTCTGTGGGGGAGAGCGCGTGACATTCTCAAGTCATCAGTTGTTATGTTCTCTATTGTTAGCCGTTCAGCGTAACCAGGACCTGGATTGTAATGGAAGTCTGACATTTAAACTGATGCCTAGGAATACTGAACATTTGTAAGCGTAGTTTTAAAAGATGCTCTCATATACCTCTTTATTAACCTGGGAATGAGTTGTCATATCTGCTTTTATATTTCTCATAGGCTTTATATAGGCCTGTTTCCTTATTATTTGTCTAATACTTAGAGTGCTTTTATATATATATATATATATATATATCATGATAATTTTTAAATTAAGCTGTATATTATTATATAAATGCTGCCTTCACCAAATATCTCCCCCCCCCTGTGTTGTCTTTCTAGGTTTGAGCAGTGAACGGTGTATGTGAGGTATAATGAACCAACATCTCTGTTTTTCCGTCCACTAGAACCGAGAACGGCTCTACTTACAGTAGGTACCCCTGAACCTAACACTCACCTAGTGCACTTTGCACACATGATACCGAGAGAGAGCCGTGGCACTTACAAACAACATACAGGGTTGCTGTTTGTCTCTGGAGATTTTTAGGGTGTGTTAATCCAGTGCAAGTTATTGGATTCATCTTTTGAAATTAAAAAAAAAAAAACTCACTAAAGCAGTTTTTTGTGTCTATACATCTGATTTGCAATTTTAGTTGCTCACGTTAACAGTGGCAGCTCGTGGGTTTTAAAATAGAGGAGGCACACTAATTGTATTGGTCTGGGATCCCTGCCGATTATTATTATTAT